CCCCAAAGCCTTGCTTGAGGTATGTAGACTTTTGAATGGGCAGAGCTGAGCCATTTGGGTAATGGCCATTTTGTTGTGGCGGTTGGAAAGGATCAGCAGACTATTTTGCAGTTCAGATCCTTTCTACTGTAGAAAGGATTTGGAAGAGAGTAGAAAGAAAGGAAGACCACATGCTAGATAGACAGAATCAATCAAGGAAGATATGTTCCTGGACCTGCAAGACCTGAGTTTGAAGATGGAGGACTTGGAGATGTCTCATTCACAGGGTTTCCATGAGTCAAAGTTGACTTGAAGGCACTTAACAACAACAAAAGAACTCAGGAAGAAGATCAACTCATCTGAAATGCGGCGCTGGGAAAGAGTTTTGTGGAGACCAATGGACTGCCAAGAAATTGAATCAATCTGAGAGTGGTTCAAGCCTGAACTCCAAGATATTTATATTGAGGATATTGTACTTTGGACACAGTCTTCTCCAGGTTAAACATACCTGGTTCCATCAATTGTTCCTCATAAGGCTTAGTTTCCAGACCTTGGAGCTGAATTACAAAATAGTCTGCTGATGCTTTCCAGCAACAACAACAAAATGGGCATTGCCCAAATGGCTCGACTGTACCCATTCAAAATCTACCTACCTCAAGCAAGGCTTTGGGGGGAACAATCTCCAAGCTCTTGCATGGATGAAAAGAGAACTAAGGAGGTATATGGTCTTCTTTGGAAGGACTTCATCCTCAATTCCCTATTTTCCCGTCTACCTCGAGCTGAAACGTGGCAGATGATGCCTTCCTTGCAACTGAGCTGCCAAGAAAATGCAGCACTACTTTAAGCAAAACGAATTTAAGGACAGGAAATCCTGCAAAAGGCGGATGGTGGTAAAGAGAAGATGTAAGATAGCGCCCCTGTCATTTTGGATCAGCCTTTGCCCAGAAATAGGACAAATGTCAAGGTGGTGGTTACCGCCGTTCCTTGAAAAAGCACCAGTTTTAAAAACAGAAAAGAATTCCACGCTCCAGCTGCAACTTCCTGAGGCTGGAAGAGGTAAAGAAACGTCTCAAGATTTGGCAACTTTCATCCAAAAGCAAACTCAGCATTGGCAGGTCCAGAAAGGCTGTTGGCGCTTGACCAAAAATGTCAGAAAACAGCAAATCCAGACATCTGAGTCAGGGCTGAAACGCCGATGAGCTTTTCTTCGCCTTGACCTGCTGGTGCTTCTGGTTGTCTAACTTTAGACTTTTTCGCCCACACCTGCTATTCTGGGCTACACAACGACAACAACAACAGCAACATTTCACCTTTGAGCTTGGCCATAATCATGGGTCTGAGAAGACAGAACTGGCGCTTGAACTTTTCCGCTGTGTGTCGCATCCATCCCTTCCAAAGAAGCTCTTCAAATGCTAGCAGAAAAAGGTGGCAGGGGAAAAACCTTTTATGGATGATCAGGTCCTTTTCATACAAGGTTTTTATGGTGGAGTACAAGTGGCATAGTGGTTGGAGCGTTGGACTAGAACTCTCTTTTCACCCATGCAAGAGTTTAAAGACTATGACTATGTCCAGGGTTCAATTCCCTGCTTGGCCATGAAACCTATCACCAAGGTAAACCTATCATGGGGATTTATTGGCTCAGAGGGAGTTTGCCATGGCCTTCCCCTGAGGCTGAGAGAGTGTGACTTGGCCAAGGTCACCCATTGGGTTTCCATGGTCAAGCCAAGATTTGAACCCTGGTCTCCAGAGTTGTAGTCCAATGCTCAAGCCACTACACCACAGTGTGTTTCTAATTTGAGGATACAATCTGTTATATGGTATATGTATAATTGTGGGAAATATCTGAAGCAAAACTTGGAACCGGTAGCCCATATTTAGGATTATGGCTAAAGTTAGACATCGCCTGTCTAGCATGATTAAGCTTGTTAGATTTAATGCTGTCAGATTTGCTGTGATAGCTGTCAATGTGAGGAAAGATATGGAAGAGATATTTTTACTTTAAATACTTCTTCCTTTGGGGATGTAGTGATGAAACTTTGAAAAGTTTTGCTCCCCCAGGCATAGATAGATAGATAGATAGAGGGATGGATAGAGAGATGGAGGGATAGAAAGATGGAAGGATAGATGGATGGATAGATAGATAGATAGATAGATAGATAGATAGATAGATAGATAGATAGATAGATAGATAGATAGATAGATAGATAGATAGATAGATAGATAGATAGAGGGATGGATAGAGAGATGGAGGGATAGAAAGATGGAAGGATAGATGGATGGATAGATGGATAGATAGATAGATAGATAGATAGATAGATAGATAGATAGATAGATAGATAGATAGATAGATAGAGTTGCAGATATAGGTAAGATATAGATAAGATACAACCTCTCTTGATTGATTGACAAAAGGAATGGTCAATTTGATTTATTCCAAGACACATCCATGTTAATCTGGAATATCT